CCAATAAGCAAATGGTACTACATTCTTATTTTTAAATTAATATATAAATGATTTTACATCATCATTAGGAAGGAGTAGATTTTTGCTGGTTTATCTATTGTGTGGATTTGTACCTTAAAAAAGGTTATCTAGCTCTTTCTATTAAAAAACCTATTTCAAAATTTTTTTAATTTTGGCTTTGAAAATTAAAGATCAATATCTGGAAAATGGTAACAATACAAATCAATTTTAAAACAATAGAAATCGGGTAAAAATTGATCCCATTTTTTAAATTTAAAAAATGTGATTAAAAAATGGTGGAGCAACATGGGCCTGTGAACAGGGTTGCCAGGTCAAAATTTTCAAATTGTGGGAGAAATTCGGTATTTTGTGGGAGTAATATATAAATTGTGGGAGAAATATGAAAATTGCTAAAAAAAAAAAATTTGATCAAAATAAAATATCCAACTCTTTTTCAAAATAAAATAGGTAACAATTTTCCAAAATAAAATACGCAACTATTTTTCAAAATAGGTAATTATAGTACGACACAAAATTTCTTAAATACTATCTTTATTATTAAAATAACATATTGATTTATTATAATATATTAATTTTGTTTAAAAATAATAAATTAATTTTGTTAAAAATAATAAATTAATTTTGTTAAAAATAATAAATTAATTTTGTTTAAAAATAATAAATTAATTTTGTTTAAAAATAATAACCAACGATCTTTTTTAAATACAAAAGAATGTAAACAAGATAAAATTTTATAAAAAAACAAACAATTTTAAATTTACAATGTAAAAAATAATTATAATCAGTGCGGGAAAGTTGTTCTACAGTATTTCGTTAATCCAATGGGGGAAGGGAATATGATATTTTGAGGCATCAAAAATCTTCAAAGCATAAATCAGTACAGGGCAGTCTATCAACATCTATTGCAAAACAAAAATATTCTTCAAAAATAAGAAATAATACAGATGCAACTACAGTTGCGGAAATGGTAAATACCTATCATGCAGTACAACATTCAGAGAGCTACTTAACATCACAATGTTGGTAGAATCTTTCCCCATAATATTTAACGACTAATATAAATGAAAAGTATACTTTGTAGAACACAAATGAGCAAGGCTATCATCAATGTTTTAGGATATAAATCCAGAAGGTCAATTCTTGACGATTTGAAAGATGTGCAAACATATGCAATTCTAACAGATGCATCTAATAAGGAGATATCAAAACATTTCCCTTGATCCTCCCCTATTTCAACAAAATTAATGTCATTTCAATAAAACTATTTTAAAAAATTTCTCATGATATGAAATATCCAAAGACATAGCTAACCATATATAATGGTAAATATGGCAGATTTGGCATTGCCAATGAATTGCATGGCAGCTTTCTGATCTGATAATTCCTCAGTGAATTTGGCAAAATCCAGAGTGTATTTACAGAATTGAGTCAGCATAATGTTGGTTGGCAGGTTCCTTCTAATACGCGCCATCGTAGAATTTTAAAATTTTACAAACCTTTAAAAAATAAATAGATTATAAAAGCAGTCCTAATATTTTGAAAAAAATTTTCAAAAATAAATGGCAAAAGTATATTTAGGAATTTTACATCTAGGAAATCTACTATATGCTGTTAATATGCAGTTGCAATCAGAAGAATATAATTTAATAAAGGTTCACTAAATTATGCTGCAGAAATACCAAAGTAAGAATATTATTACTATTATCGGATAATTATTAATAAGATTTAATATGATGTCATGTTTGAGGAGATTGTAATGCTTCTTTATTTTTATGATTTGCCAAAATATTCAAAATATTAATTTTACAATGTAAAAAATAAAATTTGATTTTATGCAAATGTATAAATAAGATTTTATAAAATATAGAAAGTCAAATATTTATAGTTAATTATATTTTATTTGAGATTTAAATAATGGAACTAAACGTTTACCGTCGTTATTAAGATATTTATAAAATTCCTGGCATGACATTTTATAATTTTGTTTAACCATTAACTCGGCCTCTAATGTTGTTAAAGCTATTCGATTTCTCTCCTTTCTCCAGGCAGTCCTCATCAGGCTAAAAATGCGCTCCGATGAGGCATTAGAATGAGGTAATGAGAAAACATACTCGCAAATTTTTTCCAAGCATGGGGATTTATCGTTATTACGAAAAAATTCCACCCATTTCTCCTCTGCTTTTAGACCATCTAACTTTAAGTATTCTGGCGAATCATAAAAAATGGAAAAAATTACAATCTCTTCAAACAAGGCTTCAATGTCTATCGGTAATTTTAATATATTTATTAAATTACAAAAACCATTGATGGTTTCTGTTCCAAGGTCATAATATTTATACACTTGTAAATAGAGTTATTAAAATCAAATCTTGATTGTAAATATTCTAAAATTGTCTTAATAAAAATATTTGCTTCATTTAAAAATACGTTAATTATAGTAATATTTGAACATTTTAATATGATATTTTTAGCAATAGCGCCATAAAATTTATTATCTATTTTTAAATGAACAGAGCTGTAGCATGATTTTGTGAATCTTTATCAATAAAGAATCTTCTGATTGCAACTGAATATTAACTACATGAAGTAGATTTCCTACATGTGAAACTAATCCCAAATATGCTTCTGACATTTCATCCTCGAAAAAATTTTTCTAGGACAGCTTTTAAAATCTTTATTTAAGAAGTATTTCTTTAAGGGTTCGTAAAATTTTAAAATCCTCTCGATGGCAGGTATTAATGATAACCACCTGATAGGTACATATCGCAACAACTCTCACCATTCCAAATCAGACCACTCCACCAATTCTTTTAATTCAGTGACTCTTTTAGTTGATGAACTAAATTCGTTAAAACATTTCATCACAATTACTTCGACATCTACAGATAGTACATTCATTGCCTTCTTGCAAGAATTATGCAGTATATGGCATATACAGCCAATTGGTATTAATTCATTATTGTGCTGCCTCAATTCGGTAAATACACTTTGATTTTTGCCAAAATTAACAGAGGCATTATCAGCGCAGAAAGCTGACATGCAACTCATTGATAACCCTGAATCAGCTATATTTACCATAATGTGGTTAGCTATATCGTTGGATTTTTCACTATCGGATGAAAAAAATTTCAATAGTTTTATAGAAATGCCCTTATTCTTGTTGAAATAGCGAAGGATCGGGAAATGTTTTAATATTTCCCTTATTTGATGCATCTGTTAAAATAACATATGGATGTCCTTCTTTCAAATCGTCTAGAATTGACCTCTTGGATTCAGGTCCTAACACATTTGTGATAGCCTTGCTCATTTTTGTCCTACCATAAGTAAAGTTAGCACTTATTTTGGAGTCGTTAAATATTTAAAAACATTAAAATGCTAAAAAAAAAATTGTGGGAGAAATTAAAAAATTGTGGGAGATTTCTAATTGTGGGAGTTTTGTGGGAGTGAGATGTATGTGGGTAAACTAAAAAATTGTGGGAGACTCCCACTGATGGGGGGAGACATGGCAACCCTGCCTGTGAAGTTGGCACAGCCATTTTAGATTTTTGATGGTTTATCTTAGTGCTGCTAAATGGCTCAATAAAAACGGCTACTCAATATTTTTTCCAGAAAAATATTACACAGGCATGATGATTTTGCTCATAGATAGGAGAAAGGTTTGGAAATCAATAAACAAAATCTCGAGGCTTAGGCAACATTTTTCCGACCTGAATTGAGTCATTCGTTTTTTAAATCTGTTTCAAATTGTGACATTTAACTATACTAGTTTATCAATTAGACAGATTTGTATCTTTTTCAGTTTGATTTATACATCACCATTTTCCAGATATTTGCCATTTAAATTTTGACATTAAAAATAAATTTAAAATTATGTAGGAAAGAAGGTCACTTACTAATAAAAAAAATTAGATTTTTTTATTTTTGACATCATATTTTTATCGGGCAATATCTGGAAAACGGTAATGGTGAAAATCGAGTTTAAAAAGCTACAAATCGAGTACAAATTGATCCAGTTTTTTAAATTTAAAAAATGTATTATAAAAAAGGTGGTACTAATTTTACATCCTATTTTTAAATTAAAAGTTTGATTTTTGTAAAAATTAATGAAATTAAAAATTATTTTTTAATGCCATTAGAAAAGAGAGATGCCAAATAATATTTTAAAAATTTAACATAACTAATCAAATCATGATTTATAGATATCATTGATTAAATTTAAAATAGCAAAAAAATATAAACCATTAAAGTATTTATGATAACCCACCTTAAACTAGGTTATGTCTTGCAAAACTCTAATATATATCACCTTAGTTTGTATAGAAAAATTTTGATTTCATATTCTTAATTTCTCAACCATACTTTAACTATTAATTTAATTAGTAGATATTTATTTGTTTATACATTTTAATCATGTTATTTTGAATTTTATATAAATTTATGTCAATGTCAAGTAAAATTTTATATGTACCATATTTAAAAAATTGATATTAATGTCTTAGAAAATTTCTTAACATAGGAAAATTTACAGGATTTCCCATAAAATATTTAAGTTTAAAAATGATTTTTTTAATTAATGTTATTATGAATTGGATGGGTAAGAGCAATTTGCCTCTAAATTTCCTTCAGAGGTTAGAATTAGAATGTATTAAATGAATGGGTAAATCTAAACATGTTGCCCATAAATACTTAAAACTGATAATTATATCAATATATTATTTCACAAATAAGATTTTTAAGTATTTGATTGTTAAAATATTTTTTTAGTCAAATGAGCACATTTGTTTGGTCAAAAGTGTGCAAAGCCTATATTAAGATAATAAAAATCAAGAATACTATTCTAAAAGTAAAAATTACTATATTAATTTATCATTACATACCCTTGAATACAAAATATATAATTTGATAATTATATATTTACTTAATTGAATATTATTAATTAATTTTATAAATTAATAACAACTTATCGTAATATGAGTAACCTAAATGGCAATTCACTCATATCGACCATTGGGGCAGATACATATTTTGGCGATTTAAGTTTGTACTTCCAAAATTCCCATGGATCTTGACTCATTATAGACGAGCCTATTTGTTAGAAAATTGCATTACATACATTAACGTGACGTTGATGGACAATGTCTAAATATAAGAATTAATACTATCATGATGCCAAATTCAAATAGAATCAGTGGCGTCACTAGGGTGGGGGCATAGGGGCTCGAGCCCCCTGAAAATTTGAATAGCCCCCTGAAGCAAAAAATTTTTTTTATATGGCTCCTTAATATCCCCTTGAACTAAAATAAATTTTTTTGATTGCTCACCAATGATATATATAACTATAGATTGACGATCATGCATAAAAAAACGTCCACCTATTGAAATCAGCTGTAGCGCCATTTTGTAGCTTGTACGTTGATCAAATGCCTCAATAATAATAATAAATTTTAAAAATTTAAAAATTTAACAATTTTATATCTAATAATTTGTTAATAATGTAAAATAATTAAATGAATCCTAACCTCAACTGATCTTTAATTAAATTACATTGGTATTCTCTAAAATAAAAAAACTCAACATTTAATACAATAATAGTACATAATATCATTAAATTACTTTCACCCAGAAATTATTCAGAAACATAGATTGCTACAATATCACTGAAGCAAAAATCACCAAAATTATACCCATACAAAATATTCCATACTTATATCTAATACACCCTCAAATATTCAACCAAATAAGGTCCACTGCCTATATATAATTGCCAAAAAAACTTATCACACAGATTCCTTTGACTCAATCAAGAAAATACTTCTTTCAATCATAGTTTTAAGTTAATTTATCTACTTGATTAATATTATTATAAAAATAAATTTATTTTTAAACATTCCTCAACCATTTAACCCCCAATCATTTATTAGAAAGTCTAATTTATTTTATACATATTAATTGCAAATATCAAAATCATTTATTTTTTTATATATATTTGTTAATTTTTCTAATAAAATTAGTTTTTATAGCTTATCAAATTCACTTGATGTTTCAAAAAAAATCTTACTATCCACTTATTGTTCATTTATGGAATCCTTATTATTAAATATAATAATATTTTATGATTCATATCTTATTAATAAATAAAAATGATGCACCGATATTTATTGTAGTTGCTGGTACTTTTAATTTTAGGTAAGTAATTTATACCTTAAAATAATAAATATATATCATTGTTGCTCACATAATTCTATTGAGTAATATATAGATTTAATTTTATAATTTAAAAATAAATAAGTCTCTCTAAATTATTCTTAAATGAATACTATTTTAATCATTAGATAAGATTAATACATATAAATTATATTTTCACTATGTCAGCTTGCAATCAAATTCTGTGTTAAAAAAAGAATATTAATATCACTCCCTACATATTAATTTAGCATTAACAGGATTTATTGACTTTTATTATTTAAATTATTATATAACTCTAATTAAATAAATATTAATTGAAAATTAAATTTAATATTGTAATTATCCGAGTTCAAAATCTAATCAACTACATTACTGATATTTAAATTTAAATACCATCCCTTTTTCTAAAATTATTTTCAAGGTCAAAATCCAAATAAGTACAAGAGATTTATTTATAAAAAGTAAGTAAACATATAGTTTATAATCCTCTATTAGATATAATTAGTTATAAAATATTAGGTTAAATACCACTTTTACAGACGTATTTGATAGTTATATAATATATTACAGTTAATATTTTAATAAATTTTACTAACAAATGCTATTAATAATAAATATAAGTAATAAAATTCTTTCAGATATTTAACGCCATTTATTATTTAGAAATATTATTTAAATATTTAACATCCTATTATTTATCTTAAAATGGTTGTAATAAATTAGATAACCTTTCTTCTCTCTTTCACGTGTTTTTTGGAAAGCTCTTTTTTTCTTATTTGAAAAACAGTTTAGTTAAATTTTTAATACTGGTATATTTTTGATATTACAAACTATTATTATTTTAAGATATAATCTACCAACTAGAGGTGGTGCGACAATAATATATAAAATCTTAATTCATTTCTTTTGTCATATCATATTACTCTGGTTCCTATTTTATAGTTACAAAATATTTCATTTCTAATATGGCATCCCTGCCTTGTAAATAACTTAAGGATTCAATACATTTATATAATTTCTTCTAAAGATTTTTAGTTTTTTTGCTTTATCATTTTATCTATCATAATAAATTCTGATATGAGTTAATATAACGAGTGTCATGGCTATGACTGCAAATTAACAAGCATCTATTATTTGTATGGTTATGTACAGTGTTGTTAAACGCTACTTATAAAAGTAGCGCGCTATCGCTACCGGTATCGTTTTCAAATGAGTAGCGCGCTATTTTAAAAAGTAGCTAAAGCTACTTTTTACGCTACTTTGATTTTTTTTTAAAATATTTTTTTCACGTAACTTTATTTCCACAAATAAAATATTGATATAAAAACATGACTAATTACATATATATATAATTTATTTATTATTGCACTTTAATAATAATAACATTTCGGTACTGTCATCCCCAAGTCTAGAGCGACGATTAGAAAGCATAAGCTTTGCCATACTAAATAATCGTTCAGCACTAGCACTTGAGGGCAACGCAGTATTAAATTTAATAAACAAACTTTTTATATGAAAAAAATCATCAAAAATATTTAAATTAGTATTTTTAGATTTAAAAAAAGCATCTAGAGGTTAATTAAAAATACTTCAGTATATTCTTTAATAAAAGTATGCTCCTCCACATTAAAATACTGTATTTTCCATTTTTTTCTCATCTAGAAACAATGCTAAAAGTTTCATAGCATTTGTAAACACTATTCCATCTTGTAGTGTTTGGTGTCAATAAATAACGTCCTAATTTTTTTTGAAAATATCAGACGTCTTTGATGACTTATTTTGCTTATTCCAAAGAGCTTGGCATTTAGAAAATGTAGATCTTGATACTCTTTTAAAATCCTCATTTAATAATGCTTCTTCAGCATCCACTGTCGCAACTAAATTTAGGTTGTGGCAGGAACAACGATGATGGCTAATATACTAATTAAGTTTATTTGACTGGCAATCACTTCATGAAATATATTAATATGATTGATTTGTATCTATGACATTTATATCATTGATAATATATATATATGACATTTATAACATTGATAATATATAATATAAATCTCATTTATAACATATCCCCACACATATGATCTTACAATTCCTCAATAAGCCGATTTGTAGGTTTCCTGGCTCTTTGTGATTTCCGCGTTTCTAGTTTTCCGTTATCTTCCACATTTTCTAAAATCTCAACTATATCCGACTCTTTATTTTTTATATTTTCCTCTTCTCTCTCTGACTCCATATTTTCTCCATTATCTTTCCCTGGCCCAGACTTCTCCATTTCTTTAGCTACCTCCCTTTTTCGAAGTTGATCCGCATGCTTTCGTACCATTCTATCCTTGCTTTCTGCCAAATAAGAATATCTGCCAGTTCTGGATTTTATAATTCCTTCTCTCAAACCTGAATTTATTTCATTATGCACCCATACCGGTTGTGCAATCTCAAATTCTCTCATATGACTATGTTCATCATGCGCTACTTTTAACTTATATTCGATCGTTCCATTTCATAACTAACATTAGGACGTAACCAATTCAATCCCGTTTTTAAATTTCGCCCCAATAATAACTTAGCCGGTGAACGTCCAGTTGATTGATGCTCACCCATTCTATATGCTAGCAAAACTTCTCCCATGGCTTCCTCGGGCTCCCTGATGTCTTTCCTAGTTGCAAAATATCGACTCTTGAGGGTTCGTATCGTTCTTTCCGCTAAACCGTTTGTTTTTGGATGGTACGGTGTTGTATGTATCAATTTAATATTTTTCTCGAAACAAAATTTTCGAAATTCTCCAGAAATAAATTGAGGTCCATTATCTGATACGATTTGTCTAGGTGTTCCAAACCGTGCGAACCATTTCCTTAAAACCCTGATCATTGTCGTGGACGTGGTCTCTCTCATTAACTCAACCTCAGCCCATTTAATATGTGCATCAACTCCAACTAACCATGAATACGAATCAATAGGCCCCGCGAAATCCAAATGAATTCGTTCCCATGGTATATTAGATATGTTCCACGAATATAAACCTCCATAATATTCGACCGATTACTTTGACAAGGCATACATTGACGAACATATTGTTCAATATCTTTATCGCAATTCGGCCACCAGCAATACATTCTAAAAATTGATTTCATAGCATTTATTCCTGGATGCCCTCTGTGTATAATCATTAAAATTGATTTCCTCAAAATGGTTGGAATTACCAACCTCCCATTCCATTCAATAAAATCATGATCTACTGACAATTCCTCTCTACGATTATAAAAACAAACTAACTCTGTATTTTTTTTTCGCATCAAAATCCACCCATCCATGCTCAATATTTAACTACTTTTTTAAACAAGCTATCATTCCTTGTTTCCTTTTGGAGTTCAACTTGACTAATATTTATATCGTGCAAATTTATAGCTCTAATTTTTAACGCGTTTTTTTGATCATTATTTGATTTTATGCCATCTATTGGCAGTCTAGATAATGTATCAGCTACTTTATTATCTTTTCCAGGAATATATTCAATATCAAAATCATATGCGGACATTTTCCAAGCCCAGCGCGTTAATCGACTATTGGATATTTTTGGTAGTTCCCGTTTATCACCAAATAATTTTTCCAAAGGTTTGTGATCTGTTCGTAATAAAAATTTTCGACCAAAAATGAATGTATGAAATTTTTCCATACCAGACAAAAGTGCTCGTGCCTCTTTTTATATTGGTGCATAATTTTTCTCTGACTCCAATAATGTTCGCGAGGCAAATGCAATAAGTCTGCTAATACCTTTTTTTACTAAATGGCACAACACAGCTCTAAAACCAGTGTTGGAGGCGTCACATTCCAATATAATTGGCAAGTTTGGCGAATATGGAATTAGCGTTTTATTTGTTGACAAAAGCTGTTTTATTTTATCAAATACCTCTTGTTCCCTGTCCGACC